GAGTAATGACACGGCTTACTCGTTCCCATTCCACCAAAATGAGAACAAAGATAGAAATCAAACTCAAAAGGTTGAACAATTGTAGTGTCAACAACCGTTCCTGGTGGAACATTCCCAACCTCATTCCCGTTGTTTAGAAACAACCGCGTCGTGTGTCGTTTTTGAGCGATCACAAATGTAATCGCGGGTCGATAGCTTTTATCATAAAGCGCTTTTTTCATATCCACCATTTCTTTGTTCAAAACCATGTCAAACTGTCCATCGCTTACACCATCGCGAAAGACGACAATTTTATTTGGTTTTGTTCCGTTTATGTTGTAATAAGTGTTGACTAGGTCAACACATAAGCTTCCGAAGTTGACGATTTCTTCTTTGCGGTGGGTTTGCGGGGAGACGCGGGCGGCGTAGCGGGTGGCGGTGGGGTTGACGGAGCCGACAACGGCGGCGACAGATGGCGAGGATTCGTTGGACGGAGCGGGGTGGTTGACGTCGGCTCCGATGAACATGAAATGATCCGGACCGTTGAAACGAGGGAACTTTTCGATTAACTCGACGTTGCTTCCGCCTAATTTCGCGTTGATTTTCATTCCTAAATTTGCTAGAAACTGATCGTTTGCTTTGAAGGCGTTGAAGGATAAACAACATTGTGTGATGACACCGATTTGGGTTTCGGATACCCATTTGAGGTATTTGTAGCCGTCATTTTTGTCCGACATAATGCAGACGATTAACTGGAGGCGTTCTTTGGTGGACTTTCTAGAATCTTCCGTGACTCGTTTGAGAAGACGATCGAGTCGGTTTATGTCTGAGAATTCTCTCATGGTGGTGTGGTGGACAAAGAGAGGGTCAAACATTTGGATTCCGATGCTGTGACATCGGTTGATTAATTTTTCGATGAAATAGTCGACTTGTTGGTTCATTTGACGGTTGTCACGGTTGAAGTTTATGAGGGCCCACCTTTCGCAAGATTTTCCTTGGGTTAATGTTCTTCCTTGGAGAAGATTCCAATGACATTTCATTTTGTCAACTGTTGTTGTCATTGTTTTTCCGTTTAAGGAGCCGAGTTTGAGCTGTGGTGGGGCCATCACACGCCCGTCTACTTCTGTCATGCTCATTCCGACTTCCACATCAAAATGCTTGATGGAATTGGCACTACAAAATACAAAAAGATTGAATAAAAAAACCGAAAGAAAGGAATGGAATGGGTAATTCCATGGAATGTAAAAGAGAAATAGTTAGATACCCGTTTTTGCCAGGTGCATATTCGTCACGAACCATGCTTCTTATCTCATTCCTACGAGTATTGGGATTCAGAAGAGACAAATCTTTGAGTATTCTAGCAGCTTCTTTACCCAATTGCTCCTTTGGATATCTTTTATCCTCAGCCAAAAAACAAAATTCCATAGGGACATAATTTTGTTTCTTACTACTTCCCAAATTCAAACAAGGAATACCCTTATGCTTAATCTCTTTCCCCCATTTTTCTCTGAAGTAATCCGTAAGCATGACAACTTCGGGTTCTTTCTTCCCTTCAAGATCTTCAAGAACAAAGGAAATATCCTTTGTGGCTTTTTCTGTTAATCCAGACACAACATACTTTTGATTTGTACGACGATGAGTCACACTCACACTTAATCCAGTCAGCGCTTTAACAACAATGTTCCCAAATCTTCCAATCTCATTAACATCACGAATGTTGGGAATGGACTCCATGAGAAAGTCAACAACAGGCATTCTTTTGCGGAAAGGAATGGCAGAATAGTCCAAACACACGACTGGTCCATTTTTTGTGAGCTTTAGGCTTTGTTGAGAGCCTCTAAATGCTGCAATACCATAACCAAGGTCATCTTCTTGTCTGTGGACACGTGGATACATGCCTCTTCCAACTGAAACCTTTTCCCTGAAAAGATTTGCTTTCATGACTACATCAAGAGCTTGCAACACATCACGTGGGATCTGCGTGGAGTTTCCTTTCAAGAAATCTTGAAGCTTTGAAAGAGCTAATTCGTTTCCATATTTGATGGAGCATGAGTAAGAACGACCATTTAGTTGAACATTGTAAAGCCCCTCAGGTAATGAAACTGCACTGTATATGTTCTTTTCACCATCGTATGCAGTTTGGAGTAGGGGGAATTGATTAGGGTTATCAGAACAGAGTTTCTGTTGGATCAATCGAAGCTCTGCTTTTGGAATTGATTTTTTTGCAGAGCGACTTGAAGAGGGGACATCATGTTTGACATCAACATCGTAACGTAGTATAGTCTTCGATGGAATGAACTTCACAGGAAAATGGTTCACAAGAAGCTTCACAAATCTCATGGCATGTGTACCATGGTCAGGACGCTTAATTGGCACATTAGCATGTTCTCCATCGTCATTTGAAGGTGATACAAGATTGGGGACTTCCTGAATCTGAAGGTCTGAAAATTCAAAGCAATAAAATGTCTGAACTAGGGTAAAATAGTTGCAACTGAGAAGAATCTGAATGGAATAACAGATAGGGGTTGACAACAAAGGGTTGTCGTTTTGTTAAATTTATCAGAGACATGGAGTTATGAGAGATAATGGTTTTCAAGCTTAAACACATGATAAAAGTATTGGGATCAAATCATAAAATACGATCGTGAATTCTTAGGTTAATTGAGAGATTTTGGAAGTATGATCTATCAAATTGAGTACAGATAATAGCCTTTCAATACGAAAACAGTGATCAGTCAACTTAAAACCTCAATCAAAGCAAACATATTCATCAAAAAGAAACAAAACTTATCAACGATTGAAACAGAGTAAGTTCTTTAATGGATGAATAACCTAAAAGGGATTCCCGATATAGAATACGTACCAGCGACGCGGTTCTGAGTATGAGTGAGAGCCTGAGATGGAGACTCGACTGATTGACCAGATCCAACAGGACTCCGTTTTGCTTCTCGATCGCCACCGGGATGATCTGGTACCCGATCCACATTCTGCCTAGCAGGAGTCCAGTACGACTGTTGACCTCCGCCGTCAGATACTCTACCCCTACCCCGCCCGTACTGTTCCTGATGTTGATTACTGTACTGCTGTGGGTTAGTTCTACCTCGGCCACCACCACGGGGATAGTAACCAGCACCAGTTCCACCACCATCTCCGCCTCTGCCACCGTTATTGCGACCGCCACCATCTCCGCCTCTGCCATCATAGTTGCGACCGCCACCATCACCGTTATTGCGACCGCCACCATCTCCGCCTCTGTCACCATAGTTGCGACCGCCACCATCTCCGCCTCTGCCACCATAGTTGCGACCGCCACCATCTTGTGAGACTCCATAACTCCGACCGCCACCATCTCCACCTCCATAGTTCCGACCACGGCCTCGTCCACGGCCACGATTGTTGCTACCACGGTTACTGTCACTCCACTCCATGTTGTTGTTACTCCACTCCATTGATCTTGATGTATGTGAATTCGGGTTAATCAAAGTAATATATGATTTGCGTAAGAGGATCGTGTTGTCGTGGGTTAGTTTTAAACGGGAAGAGTGGAAGACTTGAAGTAAGATTCTAGAAGACTCCGGAGACCGAAGGTGAATCGACGATTATACCCTTGTGCTTTCTGCCCAAGCAAAGGTAGCTTCGATGAAAACGGTGTGGGGTTTCATATGTTCTTTTGTACAATTTTTTCTTTTTTCTTTTTTGCATTTAATTTAGGATATTGTTATAGATTTATGTTTAAGTATCGATTGAATTATAAGACCATTACGTCACGATGGGGATGAAGTAACTACCACGGAAATGACGGAGAAAGTTCCTTGTCATGACGGATAGAGCAAGATCATTATGAAATCTACCTCTATATAAACAGGTCCACAAATATGTTAATAATAAAAGAAAGAAATTAACTTTCCAATTATCAAATATTCTTTTTTAGTTATTCAAAAAATGACCGTATATATGAAATCTACCTCTATATAAACCATATTTTGTTCGTCGTGAACTCGCAATAAAACAGGTAGTTTCATTTGCTATGTAGAACATCCACTGTATACTTACGATAACACTTCATTGTTCGTGTGATTAGTTTAAGTTTGTGTCAAGTGTCATCACCAAATACTAAACATTAAACTATAAGAGTATTAATTTTTGTACGTGCCCGAGGTTTCGTTCAACAATGTAGATGTAAATGCTTATTGCGAGTAATTCGCAATGTGATTATTGGTCAGAGGTGTTGTTTTGTTAAAACTTATGTCTGCAGTCTGTGGATTATATCTGTAGAAGAAGAGGTTGACCAAACGTCTATAGTTTACATGAAAAATATTGTTTGTTTTTTAACATTTGTAACCTGCTAAAATAAATCCGTTATAATTACATTTTTTATGTATCAACCACCGTTAAATTGTATATAACAATTCATAATTAGTCCACTAATCAAACCAAAAACTAATAATATTATTATATTTAGATAAAATAAAAATGAATTTGATTTGTAAGCATGAATAAAAAACTAGGTTTTTGTAGATCTTAAACCTTATCAAGCAATTTTTTTAACTTTCATATATATGAAAAATTACATACATTTATATTTAATTTAAATAAGACAAAATTGCAAAAATGTCTCTGTGGTATGCATTTTTTTGGGGGCTTTAGTCCAAACCACGACTTTTTTGGATTGATGGTCATTTTGAGCTAGTTTCATTGCGTTTTTGGTCCCTCTGAATAGTGAAATGAGTGTAATATCCTTGGATTATTTATTTTTCATTTCTTTCATTTTTTTTAAATCTAAATACTTATTTATTTATTTAACTAATTAAAAAAATAAAAGTCTCTCTCTCTCTCTCTCTCTCTCTCTCTCTCCCCTTTATACCCATTTCTTTCTTTCGTTCCCGATTTCAACGAACAAGAAGGGGCTGGTACCTCCGGCAATCTAGAGATAACCACCGCACCACATGTTAGCCTCCATTCGACCACCAAACTCCACCGTGAACCGCTACATCTCCTCCCACCATAGAACCATTCCAGCCTCACCCAATCTCTTTTTCTTTTCTGTTGATCTGAGCAACCCCAAACAAACCCCAATCCTTGCTCCTTCTTTCCTCTTCGATCACCGTTGTATTGGGAAGACGGAAGCAACAGAGCTGATGTGCTACCACTACTCGCCCTTGTTGCTGTGGTGGGCAGTCCCCACCACCACCGGTGATATTCCTTTCAACACCCATCAATGTTTTTGTCTCCGACCACCTGTTACCGCCCACAGATCCAGATGCAGGTATCCGGTGGGACGACTTTAAACCCAAAAGAAACTTGATTTGGGTTAATTTTTTGATGAAATCAGAAGACGATGATGGAATTAGAATTTCATATATGCTCTGTTCTCTGCCACCAAGGATGAAGATTTTCTCCATCGATCTACTTCATTGATTATCATTGGCTCATATAATCGGGATTCAAGGATTTGTTGTCATGAGAAACAAACGATCTTGAACAGGTGGGTCTTTGACCCCCATCGTGTTTTAGATCTTTGATTTTTTAGCAAGCCCGATCCTTCTTAGTGCATCTGATAATTATAGGTTTGAGATCTTTGACTTTTTTATGCAGATAGATGAACACATGAATTGTTCCACTTGATTTTCTTTTCCACTGGTAAATCGATTTGTAAGAGGAACTAAGGAAGATGTGTGTGTGAGAGAGAGAGAGAGAGAGAGAGACTTTTATTTTTTTAATTAGTTAAATAAATAAATAAGTATTTAGATTTTAAAAAATGAAAGAAAATAAAAAATAAATAACACAAGTGTATTACAGTCATTTCACTATTCAGAGGGACCAAAAACGCAATGAAACTAGCTCAAAATGACCATTAATCCAAAAAAAGTCGTTGTTTGGACTAAAACCCCAAAAAATGCATACCACAGGGACCATTTTTGCAATTTTGTCTTTAAATAATCATATATTTAGCTATGAGCCCATATTAAAATTATTTTATATAATGAAATGTCAATCATATAACAAGAAAAAAAATTACTGAAATAAATAAGTAATATTAATAATATAAATTTGATTATGAAATATGCAGCCTTTTATGGAAAATAAATAATATAAAGATTGGTTGTTATTCAATATATATATATATATATATATATATATATATATATATATATATATATATATATATATATAATTCGGGGCGTTTTTGGGAAACCTCACTCTTTGTTTTATTAAAAAGGAGAAAGAATTTTATATTAAATTAAAGACTAAAGATATTAGGATTGGGGGAGTGGTGAGATCTTCGGGTGTTGTCTCACCATCATGGCAAGGAACATCACCCTCTGTGTGCGGTCTAGCTGTAGTGTGGCTAAATTTGGTCGCGTTTTTTGATTGGGTTGTGGACTTTTTGACCGTTTGAACGGTCATTTTTTCAAAATTCAATTTTTTTTTTAAATAACCCCATATATATATATATATATCCGGTAAGAAAATTTTTTAGGTAGGAAGGTAAAAAGTTTTTTCTACATATTTTTTTGACGAACAAAATAAATGAATCACTAGATGATTCATTTGTAAGATGATTCACATACAAAAAATTCCCAAAAAAACATCTTTATGATTTATTTTTAAGTAAATTAAGAAAAAATTCACTTTTATGACAATTTTAGTGAATAACAACAAAATCATTGTATAAATGAATCATCGAGATATTTTTTTGAGAATTTTTTCTTGTAAATCATCTTACAAATGAATCATCTAATGATTCATTTTGTTTGTTCGCGAAAAAAATATGTAGAAAAAAAACTTCTTACCTTCCTACCAAAAATTTCCTTCTTATTTGATCTTGACTATATATATATATATATATAATATATATATATATATATATATATATATATATATATATATTTATATATCTTTTTTTACTAAACCTCACTCACATTTTTTTATATTTTACCATCTTTTTCTCAAAACTTATGAACATGTCTTCTTCCAAAATGTCTACCAACGAAACACCTACTAGAAACACCACAACCCCAAGACCTTTGTATTATCAACCGATTTAGTCGCCCATGTATTATCACTATGGCGGTATGCTTTTGAGTACACCAAGTGTACTTGAAATGGGGGAAGATGAACAAGGAACTCATATTGTTTAATGATTTGTATAACAACATGAAACGTCAATGGAAAAGGCGGAGAAAGCGATGATGTGATTTTTCAGACTGCGCTAAAAGTGTACCAAAATGAAAACATGAAGGCTTTCAAGTTTCTTGAAGTTTGGAATCTTGTGAAAGATAACAAGAAATGGCAAAACAACAAAACATCCGACGAGCATATCGACAATGGATCAAAACGCTCAAAAACATCTGAATCCGACCACACTACATTTGATTCTCGTGTTCAATTCGACCTCAACGAAGATGAACATATTCAAGTTTCATCACTTTCTCGACCAATGGGAAGGGACAAAGCAAAAAAGCAAAGGCAAAGGCAAAGCATCGGATTCGGATGAGTTAAAAGAAATGGGGTCGATATGAACAGTATAAAAGATAGAATGGACAAAAGTTTGCAACTTGCTTCCGAGAGAGAGCTTCGGAAACAAAGGGATAACGACTTGAGAATACTAACGATGAGCACATCGCAGATGACAGGGGGGAGCTTGAAATTTTTTTGACAATGAAATCTGATCTCAAAAAATGTTATGCTAATAAATAGGTTTAAATTTTCTAGTTTTTTTACTAAGTTTTTAATCGTTTCATGTGTGTTTTTTTAAGGTTGTAGGTTTTAGTTTTCAAGTTTTTTTTTCTAAGATTTTAGGATTTTTTTTAAATAATGTAATTTTTTTTTTATTTGAAGTAATGAAACGTTATGTTTTTATTATTACAAATGATGTTTTAAAGAAAAATTAAGGAGTGTGGAACCACTCCTTAGGTGTGGCAAGAAGCCACACTTTTATTGTAAAATGTGATGTGACACCTATGTGGCAGTGTGACAAAATGAGGGAGTGTGGCACCACTCCTTCCAACCTTATATTTCAGGATGATATAGCAAATGAAGCCAATTTGCTTGTTGGGCAAGTTTGAACCCCATCTTTTTTTTCAACCGATGTTTATCTTTTTCCCTTGCTTTTTTCAGTCTGTTCGCAATTTTATACACACGGCACATCATTTTTGTCTAGTTATTCACTATGTACTTTTGATTTTGGTTTTAAAATGTTATTATTCTTTTTTTTTTTTTTTTGCGTGTTATGGATTCTTAAACTTTCAGAGAAAATGGGTTAAATAAAAGAATATGAGGATTTTGAATGGGTTAACTGGTTACTCATGAATATGTGAAATGTGATTTGGTAATTGGGAGTCTACGTGTATGAGAGGCAAAACCGAATTCCCTCTCATTTAAGAGTACTCTTCATTTACTCACACTTGATATAGAGTTCCATCTGGAGCGTCAATTCACTTGCCCTCTTTCAAATCTATTTCCCTCTCATTTATGATTAATCCACATTTATAATGTAAAGGAAAAAAAATCTCAGTTAGAACGATGGCAAATGATGAAGGGAATCATTGATATCTTAAACTTGAGCTAAACTATGGAGGTATTTTACTCGATGTCCTTTCCAGTATACTAAGGTAAAAAAATTGTATTTACAGACCATGATTTTTCTTGTATGAATTTTACTGATTGTGTTACATTTTTTGAACGTTTCTTAGGTGAGCGTTATGTAACAATTTACTTGTTACCTAATAAACCATTTCATACTGGTATAAGAAAAATAGAATATGATATGGTGTATGGCTAGTTCATAGATGTTTCATACATTATAGGAAGAGGTAAAGCTTCATTATTCATTGACCACTATGGTGACGAATTAGAGGTGTAACATCCATAAAATTCATAAAAATTTAAAACTTTTTCAAACATTCAAAAGCCATTAGTTATTACAAAATGTTTTCAAAATAGTTTCATATCAGAGAATCCCAGAAACCAAAATCATAGAATGTGAGGAGGTGCACGATCAAGCCTTCGCCTTCCCGCGATCATCTGGAGTAGTTGAAACAAAATCCAAAACTGTAAGCCCGAAGCTTAGTAAGTCCCCCCAAAATACCAACACCATACAAACTGGAACAATATCATAACAAACAGCATGCATATAGAGTCTTCAGTATGACTGGGCCGCCTTACAGGCCTTCAGTCTATCTGGCCCACTCTCAGAATCTTCAACATGTCTGGACCGCCTCAACGGACCTTCAACCTGTCTGGACCGTTCTCCGGGCCTTCGGCCTGACTGGTATGCCCTGATGGGCCTTCATTCTATCCGGGTCGCCCTGGGTCTGTTGGCCTAGAGCATAAAGCAGGACCGCCTCAACCCACCCGCAAACACACAATCAACACATAGACATCAAACGCTAGCTAGCATGTACAAACAGTCACACATATCTAACAGATCACTAATCATAACATCATCATATATACCAGGACCATCTTATATATCAAGATGCAGATCTAATAGATCACTAAATATAGCATCATGCGAAAACCAGGATAACAATCCAAAAAGGGTCGGCCTTGGTGCCTTAGACCCTGTTAGCATAGTGAGAACAACTCACCTCACAAGTAATGCTGAACCGATAAAATTGAATCCCAACTCACGGCTCCGAACTCAAGTGCCTGTAACCACCATATGACTAATTCCATTAAAATCCCAAATTACCAAAATACCTTCAGAAGTCAAACTTGGTCAACCATAGTCCAAGTCAAAGTCAACAGTCAAGGTTAACAGTCCATGTTGACCCAACTCGTCGAGTGTATCTAGAAACCATGGCTTCATAACATGCTCAAATCCAAGAATGGTCCCAAAATAAGCTAATAATGGCCATAACTTCTAAAAGAAGAGATCTAGAAGAAGGGATGATCAAGATAACGACTTTATACCTCCAAGTGGTTGTAACAACACTGAAAATCCCAGATCTAAAGCTTCTCCCTTCAACCTTGCACCACCAACTTCAAGCTCCTTCAAGGAAAGCACCAAAGAACACTCTTTAATCTCACAATCACTCAAAATGGGGAAAGAGGCGCGATTAGGGTTTTCTCTGGACTGAGGAGACGATGAAGGAGGCCACAAATGAGTCATAAGTTCTTTAAATAGGGTGCAAAACCCTGAAAATTAGGGTTTCATATACAGCCGTCAACTCGTCGAGTTGGGACTTCCAACTCATCGAGTAGACCTTGAAAAATATGCGGCTTAATATACTTCTACACGACGAGTTGGAGCCTTCCAACTCGTCGAGTTGCCATGAAATATAAATAATAAGCTTTTAAATTCATACCTGAAGATTGGGATGTTACAAGAGCGTTGGTTTTTATCAAAGTAAAGATGAAGTACTTAGTCATGATGAGGTGGAATCAATTATTCAGG